GGAATTAGGCCCGCCGGGGTACGTCAGCTTGTCCGTGTGGTTTCCCATTTTAGAAAAGGCAAAAAATGGTAATAATTAAAACTGGGCATTAAATTCAGAAAGTTTTGTTCGTATCACAAATCATTTCCAAATTATTTATTTATAAAAACAGTTTAAAATATACAGTATCTATTTTTCGCCAGATAACTGCTTTTAAAGGTTTTAAGAAATGTTTTTGTTTGTTAAATTTAACTTGGCCTACAAATTAATTTAAAAATAAAATGAACATTCTTCCAGTTTTATAATTATTGTTAAATATCTTAAATTCATTTTATGGTTTATTGTGACAAGTTAGAGAAATAAATGTGTTGTTTAACTATATCCACAATTTAGCTCTCTTTTTGGAAACATTTTCTGTTGTGCTTGTGTTTGTATTTGTTTTGTGTTTGATTTTCGATTTGTTTATTTCATCTATTTTTTCGATCTCCTAGTATTTTGGTTTGCTGACGATTTTTTCTTTTTGTTTGTTTCGGTACAGATTTGGGAGGTATGACATCAGCCACTGACAAATTCTAATTGAACTCCGGTGCAAATGGCAGGGCAAAGTGTGGGCTACAAGGGGGGGTATATATGGGGAGGAGGGGATCTTGTTTGAAAGGCGCTTAGCAGGCCGAGACAAGGCAGAACAAAAATGTTTAGTTACAGTCGAATGACAGTCGCCTTTTATCCCGTCCCCGGAGTTTTGGCAACTGTCAAAATACAGATGCATACCAGGGGCATGCCGAAGGGGAGTGGATTTTCCAGGGGGGTGGCGGGGGGTAGGTTTTTCAAGGGGACAAGCAAACAAATACCGCAAACGTGAGACGAACCTATGATGCCGACACATTTGTATACACACGGGTAAGCCGTTGGTCATTCGTTGATTGCCCACCCTCTCTCTCCCTCCCTCTCTCTCTCTCTCTCTCTTTCCCTCGATCCGTATGGCAGGGCAACCAATTAGGTGACCCTGTATGACACTCACCCACCTGCCACGCCCACCGCTCTAACCACCCACCAGTCCTTTTGACAGGGTTCAAAAATGTCAGTGAAAATGCAAGCTTTTTTATCATTCCCTTTATTTAGGGAGTATATTACGTTGAAACTTATGCTGATCATTGAATTTAAATAAGCGATATTTGATAATAATAATAATAACAATTTAATACAAATTAAAACTTATGAGCAACGCTGAGAAGTTGCCCTCTTTGTTTCAGTCCACTTCTTGGTTGTTAATATTGCAAAAATAATAATAATAATAATAATAATATCAATAATATGGCTTATGATGTTGTATTAAACTAATCAATATTTCTCTCATCCTATGTTTATCAAAATAATAATTATAATATATAATATAAAGGTGGTTCTTTATAATGTACAATAAGTAAACACAATAGGGTAGTTTAGTGCCTAAAATCTGAAATTTGTTTGGTTTTTACACTGCATACTTCAGTTTCCATTTCTGGCTGGCCAGAGTTGAACGCACATTTGCGGTGGCCATTCGGCTTGCCACTCACTTAGTCGCACACGATGATATAGATGCACTTGAACTCCGCTGATGCACTGATGAAAAAGAAAAGCCATAGCAAGTAATACAACAAATTTATATAAATTTATTTGATTTTAATTTGTAGTATTTTAATACTCTTGATAGCAATATCCACTACAAACTCATACAAATTGATACTTTTGATAATAAATATGGTAAGAATTCATATGGCAATAAATACATTTTTAAGACTATAAGACTATAGATTGAAAGTTAACAAAAAAAAATGTAAAAAATTTTAGTTAAATGAAAGCTTGTGAATATAGTTTGCCAGAGTAATGTAATTTTTGTCAGTGACTGGTTGTTGCCACCAGGTGCTGATTTTTGCATGTTGCAGATGGCCAGTTGCAGGCGCAACATCTGCCGCAGTTGTTGCTGCGATTGTTGCTGCAGCTGTGCGCCTAATGAGGATGGGCGGTAATGCGGCACGTAGCATCGGTGGCAACATCGACCAAATAATCAGCATATGTCCGCCGGAAATGGAGCTGCTCCTGTTGCTCCCCGATTTCCCAGTCCCTAATGCCGTTGTCCATTATCCATACAAAACCGGTTGAGAAAAACAAATGCTTTTTGAGTAGTCCTTTCTCAAATGTTAAAGCACTTCAATAATACTTGATACATATATGAGTGAGGTGAATTGGTTTCCTCCAATTGTCATTTAATTTATTTTAAACTATTAATCAAACAACGCAAGTTTCAAGAAATGCCAGTTAAATAGATGTACATTAATATTCAAAAATTAAGAAATATAATAATAGAATAAAGTTCTAAAATATTTTACATATATTAAAAATAATAATTATAATTTTTAAAACAATATTATTATAAATATACATAATAATGTTACGGACTTCTATGATCTATTGTGGTGCCCAACATGTTAAACATCAAGTAAAACAACTAAAGCATCCTGATCCCAGGTGGAAAGTTTCTTAGGCCAAGGTTCACATGTCCTCGACCAGTGAGTAAACCAACTGCCAAAAAAACAGAAAGTGGAGAAACCGAGATGGAACACGCACACCGTGTGTGTGTTTATCTCGGCATGTGAGTGTGTGTGCGTGTGTGCGGGGGTATGTGTAAATACGTCAACAATTTTGTGCAAAGAAGGATTTCAATTTCCTTTAAGCGGAAGCGCGCTGTCAGTTTCGCATTTTGCGCCACAAATCATCAACTCTATCTGGCCCTCTGTCCCTGGCCATGGACTTCCACCAGATACTATATAGATTGCAACAACCCTGCACTTCTGATGGGTGGAGGGAGAGGGGGGCATTGGGGGCCAAGGGGCGTGGCAGGAGCAACAGCTACACATCATCCATCCATCCATCTAACAATAAGCGTCCAGCAACAGCTCCTACTTCAGGCCAAGGAGCGGAGGAACGGAGCGGAGCCATCCATCTAGGCAGCCATCAGTCAGTTCGGGGCAGTTTTTGCATCGCAAGTTGGGGCTACACTGGGCCAAAATATGTGCTGTGGTAAATTGAGAATTTTATTTCGTAAGGGACATAAAAACCCCAAAAAAACGTAGGTTATTTTTAAGTTTTTACTATAATTATATTATTATCTTCTGCATTCCTCAGCAATAAAGTTTGGTACTTTTACTTCTATCTTTTGTATTACTTTTTAAATAATTTATTAACAATAAGTTTTAGGATTTCATAAAATTATTTTTATTCGTGGAAGGAAGGATTATTAAAAATTATAATTTTGGCCCCAAAAAGTATGCTATGAATTATATTTTTGCAAAAATTGTATTTTTATGTAGCTTATTTAAATGATAAATAATCATCAAGGTAACATTTTTCTTATAAATGTATTAATTTAAAATTTTTTAATACATTTTTATACCCTTGCAGAGGGTATTATAATTTTGGTCAAAAGTGTGCAACGCAGTGAAGGAGACATCTCCGACCCTATAAAGTATATATATTCTTGATCAGGATCACCTCCTGAGTCGATATAGCCATGTCCGTCTGTCCGTCTGTCCGTCTGTCCGTCTGTCTGTTTCTACGCAAACTAGTCTCTCAGTTTTAAAGATATCGAATTCAAACTTTGCACACACCCTTCTTTCCTTTGCACGCAGTATATATGTCGGAACGGCCGGGATCGGCCGACTATATCCTATAGCTGCCATATAACTGATTGATCGGAAATGCCATAACTTTGGTGTTTGTAAAGTTAGGAAGTTGGGATTTCCTATGGGTTTTATATTTGGCCAATCAATCCGACCTACCAAATTTTATAAGGATCGGCCGACTATATCCTATAGCTGCCATATAACTGATTGATCGGAAATGCCATAACTTTGGTGTTTGTAAAGTTAGGAAGCTGGGATTTCCTATGGGTTTTATATTTGGCCAATCAATCCGACCTACCAAATTTTATAAGGATCGGCCGACTATATTCTAAAGCTGCCATATAACTGATTGATCGGAAATGCCATAACTTTGGTGTTTGTAAAGTTAGAAAGTTGGGATTTCCTATGGTTTTTATTTTTGGCCAATTAATCCGACCTACCAAATTCCATATGGATCGGCCGACTATATCCTATAGCTGCCATATAACTGAACGATTGGAAATGCCATAACTTTGGTGTTTTTAAAGTTAGGAAGTTGGGATTTTTTATGAGTATTAAGAATGCATCATATGAATAATTTTGGAGAATATAATTTACAGAGTATTCTGCAAGGGTATATCAACTTCGGCTCCGCCCGAAGTTAGCTTTCCTTTCTTGTTTTGTTATATTTTTTCAAGAAAAAGTTCAAAATATGGATTGTTCTCTCAGTCTAGTGTACTTAATACTTCTCAGTGTATTTTTGTTTGCATTGGTCTTTGTCCAAGGGGGGCGGGGCAGGGCCTGAGGTAGACCAGGGCCGGGTGAATTTATAGCAAAATGTCAACAGTTGCCGCGTAAATATGTAAAATTGTTTGTAAATAGCAATTTCGTTTTTGAGGCCGCCGCCGTCGATGCCGAAAAGCAAACGATGTGCGTCAATCGAGCTCAAACGTCAAATGTGGAGGAGAGCAAACTTAATTTACCTTCAATTATGCGAGAGGTGTTAGAAGGAGCGATGGGGAATTTATGCAGCTTGTTGATCCCTTACTGGCTTCAATTTGTGTCCTTTATTAGGGCAATACTTGACCATTGAAAAGCACATTTAAAGCCCAATAACGGTATTTTAAATTAAGGTAAGGTGAGGACCACATGTCGTATGAGTATTTTTCTGAGTATTACTCATACGCAATGTTGTCATAAAACTTAAAATTTGAAAAATTGGTAGCAAGCTTAAATGTTTCAAATACTTTTGGTGGTGCATTAGTGAAGTGACAGTCTCAAAAGTAAAAGACAGATTTTTCAAACGGTCTGCTTGTCATATTAATCATACGCAGCGTTGTCTCAAAGCCTAAAAATACTAATGATAAAAAGGAACACATATTAAAGTTATAAATAAATTTATTTTGAGCCAATTTTTCCACTTTAATAATAGGATTATTTATCGTAAATACTAGTATTTTTAATTTTCGTCAAATCAAGGTTGTGTGACTTCAAAGGTGAGCGGCATGGACATGGCCAGTTGCATCTTTCGCTCTTTCTCCGAATCCAATTCGCGATCCATGGTGTCCTTTTCCCCGATCTTCGAGTCCATCGGCTGCCAGCAGTGATAGCTGTCAATTCTTGCGGTCAATGGAAAAGTGCTGCAGACGGTCGTCAGACTGGAGTTCCTGCTCAAGTCATCGCCGTGCTCCACCAGCTCGAGGTCCTTGCTGCCCGTGGCCACCTCGCCACCATCCTGATTCACGTCCTGCCGCTCCAACTGCTGCTTCACATCCATTCTGACCTTACTTTTTTTTTGAATTTCTAACTACAAAATCATGCCCAATCGGAATTCAAAATAAAGTTTAACCTACTTTTCAACGACTATTTGATGGCAAATTATACAGATTTTATTTATTTACTAGTAAATATGCAAAAATCTAAAACCGTTGACGGGGTGGAAATTATTAAAAGGGCTTAAGGTGCAAATTTTGTATAGGCTTGCAGAAAGGTTGTGGTTAAATTCTCTTATTATCTGCATTCAAACTATGGTTAATACTTTGATCCATTTCAGATATTTTCCACATTTTAAAAATATTTAGACTATTGAATGTATACATGTTAGGTATATTTTTTTAATTTTAAAACAATTATCATGTGCAAATTATAATATTATAGTTTAGCATTGGAAAAAATGTTTAAATTTGTATTTTATTTTGCAATTTAAAAAAAAAAGTTATTTAAATTGAAAACAAATATGAAAACCTATTTTCTAATCTTTTTAAAGTTGTCGTTTAGCCATTTTTTCGGTGGAATGGGTGAATGCTGATGAAAAGCAAAGTGGATAAATGGAGGCTGCGTCTCTAAATCGCTTTTGCATGCGGCTGACCATGAAGGAGCCGCCTCCAGCTATTCCTCGTCTTTACCCAATATCCGACCTATTCCCTTCCACTCCCTCTTCCACCACTTGTCAAATGCCACGCCCACAGGCCAGACTGCCCAGCCGCCCCCGGGCCAGAAACCTTGATGGCTGGCAGTGCGTTAATTGATTGTTCGGCTGGCCCATCATTATCGGCAGAGGGAAAGTCGTCCCGACTTTGGATCTGGCACATATGGCAGTGCGGAGGACGAAGGGACCCAGAGGGTTAAGGCTAGCTGGTGGCCATGCTGATGACGCTGATGGACAGCCGTCGGTGGGTTAAGGGACTGGCAGGGGAAATGGCCAATGCAACCAGTGTGGACAAGAAAATTGCAACCATTTAAGGTTGGGTATTTCGTTTATTTCTGAGTCAACTGACGATGAAAGGCTTATCTGAACAATAAGATTTATCATATGACTTTATTGGATATATGCAAAAAAAAGAAGTAAGATCGATATTCTTACTTCATTACACATTGTTGTCTTAATATTTTAAAGACAATTTTTTTTTAAATTACAAAATTATGGCTTTTTTTAAATTAAATTTTTTAAAACCTTTTGACCCAAAGCTCAAGTTTGAAGAAAGTTTTTTCAAATTTTTAAATGCAGTCTAGATACAAACAGACACGTTTTCGGTTCATCTATAACGTTATTTTTCTGAGTGTGGCTTTAACCTAAGCCAAGAATCGAGCATGTTTAACATTTGGGACAATTTAAACAGTAAAAAAAATGCCATTGCAAAAAATAATCAAAATGGGAATGAACTTCTCCTTTTTTGCCATTGCACTCAAAACGCACTTGTAGATGCCCGCAAATGATTCGATTTTATCGATACTTCGATACCGTTTCGCTTTCTCTGGTGCGACAGAGAGGGCTGCCGGGAGTGACAGGGAGAGATAGATGTGGCAAAAATCGGCATTGATTGTCCGTCCGGTTCATTGCAATCGCTGCAATTTAAGCGGGCAAACTTTTTGGCTCACTTCGCTTCGATTCCTGCTGCTTCTTTTCGCTCTTTTTGTTTTTGGCCTACATAGAACACGGATATGAAACGCCGACTCTATCTATAGCTATATCTCTTGCCCACTGCACTTAGAAAAAAGCTAACCTCCTAATCAAGATTCCAAATGACTTGCTTAATGTGACTTCATTTTATAATACAAAAAAATGTTTAAAGCAAGCCCTTTTTATTGTAAACAGAAAAATGTTTAAATATTTTTAATGATTTTTAAAAATACGGATTTTTAAATAAATTGTCTTACTTATTTGTTTTAGTTTTAAAATAAAGAGTTGCTAAAATTTCACACCTTGAATAATTTATTAAAAAAAAATATCTTTTTTAAAAATACATTATCGATAACATAGTTATATCTTCTGGAATTTGTAATAAATATATTTTAAATGTGTAATTTCTTAAATTTAGGCTGAGTGTATCTATGTCCGCCTCGCTTCACGGACATCAGCCATCTCTGTCTCACCGCAGTGGAACTTTTTTAATACGCAACACGAGTGACCCGCTTGCGGACAATTGGAATTGTAACTTTTGATTAAATTCGTTGCAATGGCAACCGGGTGAAAAATCGAAGGGAACGGCTGTGAAGCGGGAACGGGAATAACGGAGTGGACCGGGTAGAAAAAAAGGGGTGGACCGGTTGCGGAAGGAGAACCGGGAACGCTTGTGTTCAAGGCAAGCCAAAGGATAAACTTTTTGCGCTGGTTTTTCAATTGCATTTGATTACCTTGTTGCGTGGGCGGACACTCCGCTTGTTGCTCTCTCTTTCTCTTTCTCCTTCTGTCTCTATCTCTTTCCTTTGCCGTGGGCCCCCCCCTCTTTTCAATAAACTCAAATCGTAACGCCCACTTTCGGGAGTTGTTTGGCTACCACTTGTGAAATCAATTCGAAAACTATGCGAGCCCATGGAAAATATTCCCCATCTCTTATTATTTCCTTTTTTATTATTATTACATTTATACATCTGTCTATGCGTTTAATGTTTGCTCGGCACATTTGCTAAAAAATATAACAAATTCCATATACAACAATTTTGCCCGTTATGCGTATTATATTTAAGTTTTGCTTTACACCGCCGTGATCCAAGCAAACATCCAAATGAACACGGAAACAGATGCAAATATTTGCATTGTGCACCGACCTCAATTACAGCCGGGGTCAAAATAATAGAATTTTCAGTCTGATTTTTTACTAGACCCCATCCTCTAAATACTACTTATTTTAATTTACTTTATGCCAATTTATCTCTTTATAATGCTAAGATTTTTAAATTTAAATATATATATATATATATTCTTGAACTTGTTACTTAAGAAAAAGTTTGCACTGCAGCGAAAAATACAAAAAATACAAATATAAGAATAGAAAATACAATACAAAACTACACATTTGCAGTATAATAACCATTTGATTATGTATATCAAAATGGCTCTGTTTACTTTGTGACTTTTGCGTAATCATTTTATAATGTTTTTCAATCAGTTACTTTTATTTTGACCGCATCCGTAGACAAACTCTTAGATAGGGTACAACATTTTGTTTTTGTTTATACCTCAAGCTAAATAAATATGTTTTTCAAAAATACAAAAAGAACCGAAATAACAATAGTTGGTGCACAACAACAAGAATTTTAAGATAAAAACAAGAGAGAACGCTATAGTCGGGTGCCCCGACTATCAGATACCCGTTACTCAGGTAAAGGGAGTGCGAGGGAGATGGAGATAGAAACTTTGATCACGCATAACTTTTTAACGAATGGTCCGATTTGAAAAATTTCTTCTACATTTCGATAGGTATTTATAAACACAATAAAACTGCATTTTTACTTTTCCGAAATATTTAAATTTATCGTATATAAGCGATTGTGGGCGTTAAAGGGGGCGTGGCACCTTTTTGAAACAAACTTGCGCTGCGTAGGAACTCCTAGAATCTGCATGCAAAATGCCAATCTTCTAGCTTTTATAGTTTCCGAGATCTCAGCGTTCATACGGACAGACAGACGGACAGACAGACGGACAGACGGACAGACGGACAGACGGACATGGCTATATCGACTCGGCTAGTGACCCTGATCAAGAATATATATACTTTATAGGGTCGGAAACGCTTCCTTCTAGCTGGTTCATACTTTTGCACGAATACAATATACCCTTTTACTCTACGAGTAACGGGTATAAAGAGAAAGTTAAAAAAATACAATTCAAATGTAATAGAAAAAACAAGATATAGTTATTAGCAAACATGGTAGAAGACAAATTTAAATGAATTTTTCATTTGAATATTTGTCAATATATTTGCTGCAACCAATCAGATATTTGACTAATTTACTTCGCCCAGGGAAACACTTTGCATAAGCCCTGAAAGTGTAAAAATTTATTTGTAATTTCCCTGGGGCAATTTGCTCAGGCCTAGACATTTATTTTTTAATCAATTAATATTTGAATTTATGGGGAATTATTTCTTGCCTTGGGTAAATATTGCCCGCAGCATGATATGTGAATGAAAAGCTGTCCATATGGATTGACAAAAAGGAGAAAACATAAAATAAATCATTTAAATTTTCGGTTGGATCAAAAACCAAAGGATCTTAAAGCGTATAAGTAAAATGTTTACATTTGAGGAGTTGTAACATCCCCCACGAGCTCCTCTTTTCATTTGCCTTCCATCACTTCTTTCGCTTGTTTCACTTTATGTTCACTTTTTGCAATTAGGCGAAAAATTCAAATTCAAATCAATAGACAAGGAAAACTTTTGCTGCAGCACGTCGTCACAGCAGAGGGGCATATGGAATATATATAGGATATATAGGGGTGCAGGACCAAGAAGGACCCAGACCAGGCCAATTGGCCAATGCCAGCGGCTCCGTACGTGTTCGGCCAAAATAATTCCGGTACACACTAAACAATAGTTTCAAATCAATAGTGGAATATTTTAAATAAACTATTTTATTCGATTAATTGTTTGGTGCTTTATAAATACAAAACCATAATTGTGACCTATAAGTTGTATATATTTAAACATATCTATTTTAGTGCAATATTTATCTGAAATAATGTTAGTTACTTTAAAATTACGTTTAAGGCACAAATCCATTACCTTCCCACATTTTGGTATTAAATAAATTATGATTTACTTATCTTAGAAGTATGAGAGTTTAAAATGTTTCAAGTAATTGTTATATTTGTTCTTCACTTCTACATTCAATGTTTGTTTCATAAAAAAATACATATTCAAATTTTAATAAATTATTTTAAAGAACGTTATTTAAAGAATTATCTTAATGAAAAACTTATATACAAAATATAATAATTTAATTAAATTTAAACTGATTCCTAAAACTTTTTGTTTGTTAGACTGCAAACTAATCGAAACTAAAGAATGTGTGATATTTTTACATTTCGATAGCTAAAGTAGTGAATAATTTTGTTTTCGCAATGGTTACTTTTCGATTTGCAATCTTAGTACTGTCAAGCACTTACTGTAAAGTAGATATGGCTTATGCTAAAAGGCTAAAAATCACTAATGAATATATTTAAAGTGTAGTGTTCCGTTTAAGGATCTGGGCTCTGGGCCTGGGAGATTTTGAGTATGGGGCATTTTCCCCAAGGAGCCGCTGCAACAAGCGAAGATGCTGAAAGGACAGACAGGATCTGGAGCTGAGGGCTGAGGCTGACGTTGGGGCTAATGTGATTTCGTACGTTCAATTTGTGAATTGCCTGGAACACACGTACAGTGGCGGAGGGCTTGGGGGGATTGAGGGATCGGGGGATCGGGGAATCGGGGGTCCTGGGACAACGACATATGCATAACTACGTGGCATGTGCATTTTGCTGGCTTTTCTTTTCTTCTCCCCATCTTTGTTCCTTTTTTTTGGCGGCTGCCTGCTCATTGTCGTGCAACAATTTAACATAAAACGCGGAGAATATTTTTAAGTTATTGCGAAACTGGAAATACCCAGGAAAAGGTCTGATAAATTACATTAATAATATTCTTTTCTTGATAGATTTAAATATATATATGTATATATTAAAGTAGATAATTTTAAAATGTTGTATTATTTACCATCTGACATTACCAATTATAGCAAAGTTTATTATTAGAAAAGTCTCTTAAGTTAACAAATAATGCAATATCCCTACCAAAAGTTTCATTAAGTATGTGTGAAATTTAATATAAAACGTTTTTATTTTTTATTACACATATATGAATAATCTTAAATAACTTTTTTATTTTAAAATATATTTAGACTACACTGGCTAACTTTGAAATGCTATGAATTTTTGAAGAAAAATAATAATGAAATTAAGAAAACTAATTTATTGTAAGGTGGAATAAAATACTCCTCTTCCTTAATATTTTTGCAGGGTGTCAGGAACAGTGGACTTGTGCGGCAACAATGCTGTCAGCAACATGATTACCTACAGCGAAAGAAAGAGAGGGCAGATGCAGATCCGGGGGGCGAAAGAGAGGTGTAGATGGATGACTCGGTCTGCAGACTGCAGTTGTATGCAATTCGTGGCGAGGAGTTCAGTTGGAGTTCCCAGTATTCAGTATTCAGTGTTCAGTTCTCACAACCCAGTACCCAGTTCCGACTCAGAAATCGCAGTCCGATGCCAGCTGGAGTTTGGTTTGGTTAAATGTAAGGCACTGTGCCAGACACACGCCGAAAGAGATGGCAATATACGGGCAGAAAGAGATAGACAGATGGACAGGCAGACGGACTGCGGCAGAGACATTTTGCATTAAAATTAAGGCAAATTTATAATGAGCCAAAATTGTCGTTGCAATGCAATCGCCGCAATATATAATATATGGCGCATATAGCATCGTATATACATATATCAGCATATATGAGTGCATGCATATAAAATATATGTGTGCCTGGACGTGACTCCTGACTCCTGTCTCCGTATCCTGGCCAGTTTCCTTGTCCTGCTCCCGAGCCCATTATTGGGGTAATTTATAATTTGTTCATTTAAATGATTACAAAGGCAGAGGGCAGCAGCAAGACAGATCGGACCGCACATTTACGTATATGTACTTGGAACTATAAAAATGTATGGCCCTTTTTTATTACCACCAAGAGGAGTTTTATTTAAATTGTGGCCAAGAAAAATAATGTGTTTTGCTTAAAGTTAGACATGTTCTTTTCGTTTCAAATGATTTATTATATTGTTATGGCGTTTCTTCCATTCCAGATTGCCTTAGTAACTGTTGACACTCAGTCATCAATTTTTGTGAACTATTACTGCATATTCCACTTCATAGATCTTTGCTGTCAATTGCCCTAATTAAATTGTATTAGGAACAGATAAATCTTGAGGTAAATTGTAATTTTATATAATTTTTTTTTAATTATACAATTTATTGTTAAATATATTAAAAGTAAAAAAGAACAATACCTATTTGTAAACTTAGCTTTCTGGAAACTAAATAAATTTTATGAAATAAATTTTAAAATCAAGAGGAAACGTTTGTTAGCTGTATAACTGATTTGAAAATCTGTTACATTTTGGTAGAGTCATTGTGGATACTTAGAAAATTGAAAATGTAATGTTCATTTTTTGTGATTACTAAAAAGGCAAAACAACTGATCATTGGGGAGCATACGTTTATCATCGCATGTTACATACGAGTACAGTGAGATGACATTCGTGGCGACTTAGAGGAAATATAAGTTAACGTCTTAGGGGAGTGCAGCATTTGACTGGAATATAAGCACTTATTTTTTTTTTAATGCAACCATTTGTGGCACCTGGTCATTAGGGAGCATGTGTGTGCGCATCCGACTGACACAACTGAAATTTAAAGTGCAACATCAATCACTGGTGCAAACGGGGACAAGACTTCTTCTTTTCTCGCCTTTTGGCAAGGAGCATTTATGCCTTGGCTAGGCCCAGAATATATATCATGGCTTCCTGTTGCTCAACATTTCACCAGATCCCCCATCCCCCTGCCCCCATAATTCTCTGCAAAAGACACCCCCCCCTTTTGCCAAGCAAGCCAACTCGAATTGTAATGACGCAACAATTTAAAGTTTGTCGTTGATGCTGCAAAACTCGGTGCTAATGGCGTCAGCGTCAACGTCTCTCAACTCATCTTTAGAGCCCCGTTTGCCCCTCCGCAAGACCCAATCCTGTCGTCCTGATCCTGTCCTGCCATCTTGTTTTTGTTGTTGTTGATGACGGCGATTATTTGCGCCATGAACACATGGAAGCAGCTGCAAAAGGTGGCGTCCTGCATCCTGTAATCCCCCCTCCCCTCGACGGCCCCAATTTTAGACCACCCAGCTGCACCCCACTTCCAACCTTCGTCCAGGTTGTCCAGGCGAAAAGGCACTGCAAAAAAAATAGGAACCTTTTAACAATTATACTTAAATTCAAAAAATATATATATAATACTATAAACCTATGATTTTAGCTTCAAAAATTGATGACCACAATAATTGCAGGGCTAAATAACTTTCTTATTATTTTCGTTAATAAGTTGCATTGAAAATATTTTCAAATTCCATTGGGATGGCTTTAAAAAATCATGTTGAAATTTTTCCATTTTCAAAAACAAGTAAATATTGAAAAAATTTAGAGCTCTGCAAAAAAAGAACGTGAAGTGGTTTTCAAATTGAGTATTGAAATTAATTGAAAATACAAATTTCGCTCATTATTTTTGTATAGTTTTTATTAAGATTAAGCGATAGCCATTCTTTTAAATTAAATTTTATTTTATTTACCTACAAACCAATACTTTTTTTCAGTGCATTAGTGACTCCGAGTGCAGCAATTCAAACTTTAAGCTGTCGACGAGGCAAAGTCGAGCACTGCAACTGCCGTTAGTGCGGGGGAGGGAGACAGGGAGATATCCACAGAAAGAGACAGATAGAGCCAGACACTTGGCAATACAAATTGAAATACTTCTTCTTCAGCTCCTTCTATATCTATCGCCGTCTCTTTCGCAGTGAGTTTGACTGTTGCGCTGCAGGATGTATTAATATAAATGAATTATTCGGATGAGCCAGTATACCGTATACCCCTCGCCGCCTGATAGATATTATGATGGATACGCCTTAACGATGCTGCCGACGACAACGGGGACTGAAGGAGGAAGGACGAAGGACGAAGAACGATGCAGCTTGTTCCCAAAAAGTTGGCCAAAACTTTATGGCCAAGTCGAAGGAGCGGGCGACGAACACCTGACAATCCCGAAAGAGTCAGAAAGGCAGCTAAGAAAATAAAAAGAAAACACTTGAGTTAGAATCTTATAAATGAAATGAGCAATATAGATTACAGGTGGCTCTGGTTAAAAGTGTTTATTATATATTTTCTTTTTAATAAATCATTTTGGAAAATTAAGAATAATTACCTAAATTGAGGTCATTTTAACAAATTTTTGAGTCAGTTTCTTTTTCGCGTTCAATACAACAATTTTTTTAAGATTTTGCTTTTATAAACAAAAAAAATTTTATACATGAGAAATATATATCACAATAAATGCCTAAGTAATGATGGTAATCATAATCTGCTTCAGTTTTTTAATGAAAACCCTGGGAATTCGTTATAAAATGTCCAATCAAGTGGGATTCTCAGCTAAAAAATTGTATTTTTCGAAAAAAAAATCATGATGTTACCCTTATAAAAAATATTTTGCCCAAAATCGGGAAAAAAATAGCTTGATTTTTCCCACAAATGGTGGTCGAATAATGAAATGTCATATCTCGTTAAATTCGTAACAAAATTTCCAACAAATTGGCATTTACAAAAAAACCGATGAAAATAAAACTGTTTTCGTAAACAAAAATAAAAAATATTTTTAAGCTGCATCTAAATGTAACCAAATGGAGTAAATTCCAGTTCCGGTTAAAGCTTAGTGGCGATTACTGAACCCAATTGGTATCTTACCCGGCGAAAGGGTCATTTCTGCAGGTCACCTAATCCCTGTACAACTGTATTGGATTTTACTTGGTTCCGAACCAAGAACAAAGCTCCAGGACACACAGCCTGCCCCGAAGATTTTCGCCATGCCACCGGAATATTCATATCCAATCCCCCCTCGTTTAAGTTTTCGGTGTTGCACACAATTTTGGCCATGGCCCTGGGGCGGTAACTGCAATTTAGACAAGTTTATTTATATGAATGTGCGGCCCCGGGCAACACATACAATATACAATACACAGCACACAACACACAAGGATCTGCATCCTGGGCAGGATACGCACATCAGGATCTGCATTGTTGCTGCGGTCGGAACTTATTGTCGTCGCATGGCACATTGAAAAGGCGCCCGGGGCAAGTTGGTCGCTGCCAGCTAATGATATAATGAGCTAATCAATACAATTAATTAGCATTATCTGCCACTTGAGCGGGGAAACAGGCAAAAGCGGCCATCGCCGAGGTGGATTGCAGTGCAATTGGGCGAGGTGACCCCAAAAAGCCGCAACCGAATCCCAGTTTGACTGACTACTTGAACGGCCGAACTCCGGGAGACTTTACCCCTTAACACACAAAAAAAAAAATATGGAACATCCACTGGGAAAAATCGTATTAAGGAGATTAAAAGTAAGATAGTATTTTAAATGCAGACAATTTATTTATACATTATATTTTTGCCGTCTTATAGAAAAATATTCTTTAAGATTGATGTATTTAAAAAGTATATTTTTGATTGATCGTTATTCATTTAAATAGTAATTGTTTAATTGTAACTTGTTAATTAATCATTTCGTTAGGTTTTTAATTAAAGTGAGTATGTTTTTAAATCGAAAGCAAAGAAAATGAGCCAGTTTCTCTATATTTTTTTGAGTGCATGAAGCGGGTACATAAGTAGGATGTGGTGGCAATCCCGTTCCCTGATTCCTGGGGTGCCCGCTGCTGCGTAAAAAGTGGGCTAAATGTCGTTGGCAGTCGGCTGGCAGCCCAGCTGGGATCTCTACCTCTTTTGGCCTCCTTGCAGCACCAGCCCCAATCCCAATTTAAATCCCAAGCCCAAAACCAAGGCAACTTGAGCGCTGTGAAGCGCCCAACGAAATGGTCCAATTGCCGGGCAAGTGGACCAAAAGTGCCGACGTCGCCTGTTGGATCTATGTCTACTTTCTGTCTCCCAATTTCCCCCTCACCCGGACCCATTTGTCCCCCACATCCGACCTTATATATCCAGTTGCCCTATCCGCTTCGTTTACACCTGAGTTGGAGGCTTGAACTACCAAGGATTTATAGAGACTACAAATCGACTTTAATTAGCTATTTAGCAATGAGCTTTTAAACTATATTAAAACTCTATAGTAAAGAATAGAATATATAGAATTTTATTTTTTGGCAAAAAGTATTAAATAGTTCCATGGGGATGAACAAATTATTTTAATTAATAAATTGAAGTATATTTAGATACCTAATTTGCTAGCCAATTAACACACATTTACCTTCATTTGGACGTTGGTATTGGTAATCAAAATGAAAATCGCCCCGATCAATGGCAAGAAATCCCTAAACACCTAAACAATTTACGCACATTTGCCAATTAATTTCAGCACGAAATTTGATTTCGTTTCGCAATTAGAATGCAATTCCATTTTTATTAACGAGAAAACGCGGTACGATAATTTATGATGGAAAAACAATTCAATTTATTCAACACAAATGTGCTGTAATGAAAGTGTGCGCACACAAACTGGCTTTATCGATGAATAGTTAGTTGTATATATTATTGATAACAATAACTAATAACTTAAGCAGCTTTTGCGGTTGCAATTTCTAAATTTGGTTTTTTATTTTCCTTCTTTTTTTTGATTTCTGGATGAGCGGGGGTAAAATGCACAAATATTTAAGCATAATGTAACTACAATGCAGGGGAGCGTGGAACAGAATGCGAGACAATACCAAATGCTGGGGCCAAAAATTCTAAACAAAATTGTGGCCACTAACCGAAATTGCATTTGCTGCACACTCCACCATTTTGCAACCATTTCCCCGGTCTGCTCTTTCCACTGTTATTGTTGCATGTCATAAATGATGCTGCTAAAGAGTCAAGAATAATCCGCTTTTGTGTGCATATCACAATCAAATGCTAACCACCAAACGCACCAGCCATCCTCTTCTCCACCCAAAAAAAAGGAAGAGAAATACAAAATAAATACGAATGACAAAATGAACGCTAAAGTTGAAAAAAAAATCGGCTTATCGTCGACAGTAAGTTTGTTATTTCTGAGATGGCACCCAAAGGATTCAGAGTTTTGTTCCCAAAAAAAAAAAAATACCTGATGATGCCACCTCAAGTGCTAACTTCTCTTGGTCTTGGCGATTTGGAATTAAAGCAACTTCATTTGGGGTTTCTTGAGGGATTTTGGGAAGGCACATACTCAAAACTTTTGAAAAACAGCAAATTGGAGAAAAAAATATGCAAGAAAAGAACAGAAAAAAGTCTTTATTTAAGAAATTAATTTCTAAATGGTTCTTGTCCTTTTTTTTCAAAAAATTGTAGTATTTTTTATTTAAGGTAAATAAAAAATTATAAATGCAAAATTATTAAATATATTCAATTTATAAATTATGTTATATGAAATAGACTAATTTTTATTTGTATGAGTTAATTTTTTCTCTGGAGTTTTAACTGTGAACGAAGGCGATCTTCACATGTAATGAGCAATACTTTTATATCCACCCCCGCAAAGTGCTTCGTAGATCATTAACCAGAATTGCAACTCTCAGCCATATTTCACCAACAATTTCACCCAAAATGGACTCAAGGCGGGGGGCGTGGCTGGGGGCAGGGGTTCAGGGGGCAGGGGGTCATGTGCCGAGCATGAGGAAGTTACAAACAACATGGCGCAGCATACCAGCAACAAAAGTTACAACAACAGCAGGCACATCAAACGCTAGAAGAACTGGGACGCTCACACACATGCACACACACACACACACAACCAAATGCAAGGACTCGCACACACACACATGCATAAGCTGGACCTATACACATGTCCGCTAGGTGGCGTTGGACCAGGGAGCAAATACACTGAAATGAAATCGGTACATAAAAGGACTACTAGTTTCCCAATAGGTAAAATACATATTTTTTAAAATTTTATTTAAGAATAAGTTAAAAAAAAAATTTTTTTTTATGAAAACTTCCTATATACATATATGAAAATTGTTAATAAGCAGATCACCTTGTTGCAAATTAGATATCGATTTTCAAAAGCTTAGTCTGAAAAATAATAAGAAGTTGTGTGATTAATATATTTTAATCAATATTTTATATTTGAAAATATAAAACTGAAATTGTTTTCACTGCACACCAAATGTAGTGGCTTGAAAGCCGAAGCCTAAGAAAACACAACAACAGCAAACAA